AATTTTGCATGACATATACCCTCACGGGTAATTTAGATTCTAACCAAGGCAATGGGCATACGAAGAGAAAGGAGAAAGTGGATAAGAGAAGTTGAGAATGGAGAAACAGCGTGGAAACACCAAAAATTAATAGAATACGCATCACAATTTTGATTTTGTGAGCAACTCAATTTGATCAGCCTCTCTCAACAATCAAACAAAGATCAGTTCACGGATTTAAACTAATCATCCGTCAGACTTCACTTTTGCGAACTCAGTTCTTCCGGCCGACCATGCACTCGAGAAGCACTAAACAGGAGTTTCTCTAGCACTAAAGAGCTCACTCACCTTCCCGCCAGGGAAGTTTCAATTATGAAACCATCGCGTGGAAGGCGTGTGTTAGCACTGCCAACTAGCTCACACTGGGGTTGACCAGAATCGTCAATTCATGATTGCTGAGATTTTGTCTTCAATGATGAACAATCAACTCAGTTTGCCGAACAAAATAGTGATGAGCTCCAATGAAAGCGAAATTCGAGTCCAGTGCATTCTCGGTATACTTTTACATGAATAAACTATGAATTGTGAATAATGGTGATGTTTAGTCCAAATCAGTATCTTTTTCCCACAGCACAACTCACAAACAATTGAGGTCAATGTACAAGATAAGTTTACTTTCTGAAATGCAATCCTATTACACAATAGATATGATTATTTCAGGTGACTTAGGATCCTATCCGTATATTCACTCTGATAAGTCACTCAGTACAGGAGTCAGTCTCAGTCTTATAACTGCCGGTTTAGTCATTCCACCAACAACGCTGAATCTGTGCTCCTTTACCGTGGGCTTTGGTTGAATGTAACTCACAAACCGAAGCTCCCGTGGTCGGAGTGCCAACAAGTAACCAATCTTAAAGCACCTAAACAAGCGATAACAAAAACCCACGTCCAAGAACAAGGGACAATTATGATTCAAAGTTTTAGCAATTAAAAAACTTTCCCGTTACCTCGTAGCCCTCTATATGCAAATATATATATATATCTTACATTGTCACCATTACGAAACACAATTGTGATTTTGTGCTCTCATCATGTGTTTTATTATAATGTGGGACACTACAGACGTAACTCACAAACCAAAATAATCAGTTTCCTGCTGCATCAGTCACCAATCTTTGAACGATAAAATATTCATCAATATTTTTTTCTGCCGAGAGATACAGAACCAAGTTCTGACCAAATACTATTGAATCAGATTGTGGTAGACGCGGAATTCGCAAAAGAGCTCCCACTGCGAAAGAATAGTGATATGATAATGATTCCAGCGTGGCAATGTTTAAAGCTGTGTATGCGTATTTGACATCAACCTACGTGGGTCCTGGTGTATTCTCCGGGCCCCAAAGTTGTTTCACTGATAATGGTGCCTAGCCTGGATATTGATAACAGGTCCAGCTCGGAGAACACCAACACCAACAACCGCATTTTAAGCTGCAATCATTCCACACCATATCAACTCGTGTTACTACGCCTCAGTTGAATTTATGGCCAAGCAGTAAAATATCAGCAGGACTATCGTGACGATACATCACAACTAATAATTGACTACTACTTCTGCTAGAATTGGTATGTTATTTCCAAGACAAGTAAACTAGAAAGGCTCTTTATATGCGATGAAAGTGATTGTGATGACTGACAAAGAGCACTGAACAGCTGTTTCGTCCTGTTCGGGACTCGTCCGCCGTGTGTACATTTTGTATTTCTGTCAGAATTCGAACCATGAACCTTCGGTTTGTGAGGCGAAACCCGTATCCCTGATATTCGAAAGTTAGGGGGTATGTGGTTGTGTCATTCTCCAATTTATTCATTGGAATGAAGAAATCAGAAAGGGTTTAGCCGAAGTTAGTTCGCTGGATCTAGACTCGTGTGCATGATGCAGCCCAGGTAATCGTATCAACAAACAAGGAGAGATACTAAGATAACAACAGATGAAATAGAAAGTGTTCATAATCATGAAGCACAACGCGAGGTGAAGACGGGAGGGGGGGGTGGCGAAAGAAATGATGCTCGATGTATTGTTGATTGTGTTTGCTGAAGCCTCCGCCATTCGACGGCTTGAACCCAATTTGTGTAAACAATTAGACTTTGTGGCCAGTCTTGTCCTACCTTGGTAGGGCTGAACCCCGTCATGTGTTCACTCGCCGTGTGTGTGACCTTTGCCCCTGCCCTGTGATTGGATCAATTGGCTCAATTGGCCCATAACCTATCATGTCTTTGTTGTTGTTTAACCTTGATCGTCATTGTCCGTATGCAGCTGACTGAGAGTACCCGAAATAATAGAATTCATGTTATCCTACTAAAATGTGGTTCTTCCTCGCCGTGATGAGATTGTGGGTAAATTTTTTCTATTTGGGCACCCGGTGGACGCATCACGAATGAAGTGTCAGCTCGCATACAGAAGGCTCGGTTGGCATTTGCCAACTTGAGACATCTGTGGCGCCGTCGTGACATCCGGCTCTGTGAAGGGTCCAGTGTATGCCGCGGCAGTTCGGTTACTTCTGCTATACGGTGCAGAAACTTGTCCATTAAGCAAACGGGATAAAGACAGACTTTCGGTGTTTGAACACAGCTGTCTACGCAGCATTGCACGAATCCGGTGGGGTAGCCGGATGAGCAGTGCAGAGGTTAGGGGCAGAGTTTTGGGTAAATACAGTCGGCCACTGGAGCAAGTGGTCGGTCTCCATAGATTACGTTGGCTCGGATATGTGTTATGCATGTCACCAGGTAGGTTACCACGGCGAGTGATTTTCGCCGAAGCAGACGCCGAGTGGAAAAAAGCCAAGGGTGGTCAGGATAAGACCTGGCACGAGGGTATGAAAACCCTAACCAAGAGACTGGGTCCTGTTAGGCTCCCTGGCTGGGAACCTCGAGATGATCGTAACCGATGGTTAGAGACACCGAGTGATATGGCTGGGTGTCGCAACCAGTGGCGTTCGTGCATCTTCTTAATTTCTTTGCAACTTTAGACCACTGAACTTCTCCATTTTCTGTTCGACTCCACTCTCAAGCTTCCTCTCTTCTACTATTCTTCATCTAAATAGGCAGCCAAAAGACAGCAACCAAAACCGGCGCACGAATATGCGTGGTTAATGGTTGTACAAACTGAACTGATGAAACATCCGTTAGATTGCATATTCATACACACACAATCCTCCGTACATTCAGTGAAACCTACACTCCGATTAAATCAAGGGGTTAGTTTCGCTTGGCAGATCCAAGATTTAAAAACCCAAAACAACTCACGCTGGGTTGAAGGAATGTTTACTGAAAGTCAGTCGGTTTTTTTACGCCCCAAGGCAACGAACATGTACATGTTTCATGCCCTGCTACATCCAGTTGAAGATTTTGCAATAAATCAGACCCATCATACGGATTTGGGTAAACTTTCTCATCTCGGTCTGCCAGGCTAGATTTCAAATCATGATTACCTCACTGTTTATTGATGAAACCAAACGAAATTGAAATTGGAGGCTAATGATTCCATACTCTGTGGTTCATGGGATGGGTGGAAGATTGTGTGTGGCGATGAGCTCCAAGAGATGGTCGAAGCGAATCAATAATAATAGTTACAGTAACACTACTACTCATAAGTAGATGTGAATGGAAAAGGTTTATGGGGAAATATGTTCTGGTTTGAATAAAATGGGACCCCGGAAACGTCGAATGCTTTGGGTTGCACTCCTTGGCATTTAATTCGTTCCTCCCATTTTAGGGCTTTTGTAGTTACATGTTGAGATTGTGGACGCGGACAAAAAAGCACTGGATGGCTGTATTGTCTTGTGTGGTATCCATCGGCAATGAGTGTTATTTGGCTTTGAATCCCGAGTCGCCAGATGGGGACTAAAAACCCTTGACTCTAATTTACACGGTTATCATTCGCCAGTGAGACTCGGCCAACTCAGTGAATAGTACATACACCTTGTGTCTGCGAATCTGCAACTATAAGCACAACCATATGTTAACTTTTTAAATAACCATGCGCTTGAATCTCGGTCTCAAAGATTTGAGCCCCTAACCGGGAGTTTTGCAGTTGGATTCCATGAAAGCGACCAATGATAGTGCTGCTGAACGCCTACAAGGATGAAAGGACTACCCATGACTCTTGTTCGGCCTTTACACACATCACTTCATAATACGATTGATTATTAAATATCCATGGTCATAAAGATATCAGTGCCACTTTTCCGGAATACAGAACAGTCACTCAACTGCAAATAAACTTATTATCAGGTTGAAATCATTTCTTACAGTTCCATCAATGATTGTTTAGCTGATAATAGTAGTATAACGTTTATCTCCAGGACCAGGAGATGATCACAACACAGTTATTCCATCACATACGATCGTAGTGAAAAATAACAAGTGCATTGTAGATTCACTGACAAAAATAATGAACTAGCGCGTGTCCGAACTCGAGCCCCATTATCTCACCCATTGAGCCCCAACAGAAAACTCAAGATTGGTACATTTTTATATCGTCTTATGGTTGTTGTAAAAAAACCACTCGATTCCAGCTAGGTCGGCACTGTTATTCACCGTGACACCTGTGCTGAAACAGAAATTGGGGATTTTATTGTGATTTGATCCCCTAAACAGAACGATTGCTTGTAGCACACAGCTGGAATTCCATACCAGTGGGAACAAGCTGTCCACTAAATCATTCGTCTTTTCGTAAAGGTAAGAACGATGCTCACATAGGGAATAACTCACTCATTCAAGGTCGATAATTATGCTAATGATGAAGATGGTGAAATTCAGTCGGACTAGATCAATTTCGACTAGGTTTTTCTCTCCAACTTATGACCCGATAGGGTATTCACAGGGAATACAGTGAATCCAAATATTTTCACCTCGATGCCACATGCATCACAATTTCAGAGTGCAATCAATGATCGATTTTGGTGTAAGCTAAACAGCACACGAATAACCGGCTTGAAAAAGTTATCATACTGAAATTTGCTCACCTTGAATACGAATCCCCGATACGGCTGAAGATAGGAAAAGAGAAATTTGGAGCATGTTTAAAACACAAAAATAGTTGCACAAATAGAATGCGAAGAGTTAAACCGAGTGTAACAGACAGATGCTAGATGAGACGTACTATAATCACAAGATATAAAGTCCGATAAATTGAAAGGGAAATACTCAGTGAAAATGCCCCAGCTTTTAGCTCCAGAAGATCCAATAGCCGATCAAGGACGGTCAAGAGGGGAGAGGTTGCGCAAGAAACATTATCAGTGGTCTCCCTATCAAGGCCCATGGCGATGAATCTAATAAGATCCGGGCCACGTGCATACTATCCAAAGTGATGTTTTCCTTTGAAATCACACAAACACCTGTTTTCTTGGGGCTACTTTTGGAATCTGAATTTGCAGCTACCAAACTCATTTGTCTTCCCATCGATCTGCCCGAGTGTGTAAGAAAAACAAGCGTATGATAGGGGAATTCGACTGAAGACGTAAGCCTTGGGACTACGTGTCTTTTATTTGTTGACAGATTTGAAAAACGCTCACCCCCGGGCATCACGATTGAGTAGTAGTAGAGTTTCGTCCAACTGACAGTGCCTACATTGAATAACTCATACGGGCTAACCATGTACACCACGGTATGCGGGAGTCCCTGGAACCGGGGGATTAGGTTGCCTAGACCGGGGTACGTACAGAGGAACGCTAACGGTTATCAAGCTTAGGCTGGAGATAAGCAGCTGAAAGTCAACGGATGATGTGAAGATGAGGCATTAGGAAGTAGTGGTAGCTTCCATGTACGAGCCGAAACTATTCTGTAATTTCTTTATTGGAAATACGAAAGAAAATGGCAATAAACTGACACCAAGCGCGTTGTTCTTGTTATTACTTTTCAGGTTAGAATGTTCTATCATTTGCTTAGATGCACACTTCGATACTGTTCTGCGTGTTGCTCACAAAGCTCACCTTCTCTTTCTCCTCCTCCATTCCACCCCCCCACCCCCCGCCCGTTACACATTCGTATTTGGTTTACCAACTG